TTGAGCACAAATGTGAAAGGGATGCTGGGCAGAGACAGGCAGGAGACACAAAACAAGTTTGATCTGATGGATGCTGGATTTAGGCAGTAAATTCTTTTTGGTTTTATTTTGATTCCCATAATTATTGTTTGTGCACAGTGGTCCCTTTTTTGAGGATCAGAGAGATGATCTCTGAGAAGGGAAATCAAAGCTTTGAGGGATGGAACAAAGGCGCTGGCCTGGGGAGCAGAAACACAACAGGCAAAGGCACAGCAGCCTGAGCACCTGCAGACGCACACCTCAGTTAGCCCCGGCACTGCCCCCTGCTGTGACCTCAGCAGGCCCTTTCTCCTTCCAGGACCTCCATGTTCACCTCCAGATCGAGAAGGCCCCTGCCACCTCTGAGTCCATTGATTCTGGCTGGCAGAGAGGTCAGAGGTCTGATCTACTCACATGTGACTGACACTAACATCTGTGGCAAGGACAACACGAGCACCATTAAATGCCACACTCCCCCAACTTGCCAAGTCAGGAACCCAGGCATGCCTCTGAGCGTCTTTGTACCTTTCCTCTAAATCCAACCCCTTTCCAACTCCTGTTAATGTGACCTCCTAAACACCTCTCAAGTTTCTACTTCTTTCCTTCTCCACTGCTTTCCCACATGCTCAGGCTAGCATGATCTCTCAGGTGGATCATGCAGCCAGCACCTGGTCTCCCTGTTTCAGTCCTGCTCTCCTTCTAATCTGTGTTCCATACCACAGAGCAATCTTTTTCTAAGATGTAAATCTGACCGTGTCACCTCCCTGCATAAAACTCTACGATGTCACCCATAACTCTTTGGGTAATGTATGGGGGTCTAGAGTGTGAACCAGACCTCCTGGGCTCATCTCACAGCTCTGTCACTTACTAGATCTGTGACTATAGGCAGGTTACTTAACCACTTGGTGCCTCAGTTTCCCCACTGGTAAAATATGGATAACAATGGTCCCTACCTCACAAGGCGATTGCGCGGATTAGTGAGTTAATGCATGTGAACTGCTTAAAACAAGGGCTGGCATACACTAAGGACTCCATAAATAGTAGCTGCTGTTTTTATAGATTTATACATTTAGTAGACCTTCAGGGCCTCACCTGTGCAGGCCCCACTCAGCTCTCCAGCCTCTTCGCTTTCCTCTGTCTCACTGCTCTCCACCTCCCGGGGCGTTTGAGCCACACGGAAACTCCTCCATGTTTGTTCTCACTGCTGAGCCTCTCCACGTACCATTTCACCGCCAGGTACATCCTTCCCACTCCTGGCTTCTCCGACTGATTTTTTTAAAAACAGCTTTATTGAGATATAATTCACACACCATAAAACTCACCCACTTAAAGTGTACAAGTCAATGGTTATTGGTATCTTCATGGAGTTGTACAACCATCACCACAATCAATTTTAAAGCATTTCCATCATCCCCAAAAGGAACTCCACACCCACTAGCAGTCACCCCCCCCCCATTTCCCTCTAACAATGCCCCCCAGCCCTAGGCAACCACTCATCTGCCCCAATTGGTTTTTGGGTCTCGGTTTACACCCTACTTGTTGTTAAGTTCTCTCTGACCTGCAACTCTGGGTCAGGTGCTTCCATAGTACCCATAGTTTCCTCGCTCTCAGAACTCTGACTATTTTCTTATGTTTATCCCTTGCTAGAACATAAGCTTCACCTGAACAGGGCTGTGGTTATTTGAGTCACCAGGATTCTGCAGTGCTTAACAGATGTTCAGTAAACAATGGCTGAATGACTGAAACCAATGGTGCTAAGTAGCCAAAGCCCAGGCCCTATCAAGACTGCCCTACTGTAAGAAATCCACACTAACAGAGTCTTCCCTGTACTACAAACTCTAGAAGTAAAACAACACCTCAAACAATTGATGACATTCAAATTTCCTACTATTCCCAATAGAGCCACAACTGGAATAAGGCAGATCCTTGTAAAATGCGTTTGATTCAGGTGCTTTAACGAAGCAAATCCACACGTGAGAAGGGAAAAGAGCTTTGGAGGCTGAGTAGGAAGAAGTGAGAAAGATCCACATTTCAGGTGTTTGATATTTGTGGATTTTATGTGGGCCTGTCATTAGCAGGTCATTACTCCGTAAGATGAATACAAATACTTTTTGTTTAAAAGAAAATGTTAGAAAAGAAAAGAAAGCAAAGAAGGAAGGAGGGAGTTCATTCTGGAAATTTCCTATAAAGCCCTTCTGTTAAGCAATTTCTATTTTCTTGCAGATTCCTCATTATAAAATTAGAGCTGTGTTCCCCCAGACAATAATCTATGCCCTGGAAGTTTATTTCAAAATCCAATGACCATAATAAGAAAAGCAATTATCTCCTAATTAAACATTAAGATTATTTTTCAATATGTCAACATACTGCTGCAAAATAGTTACAAAATAAAAACAAAAGCCTCCCTGCTTCCGCCATATACTTCAGTCTACTTCGTATACTGATGGTAAACTAATCTTATTAAAAGCACAGCTCTGGACATGCCTTCCCTCATTCAAACCCTTCAATGGCTCCCCACTGCCTTCAGGATAAAGAACAAATTCCTAAGTGGGTGTTTGAAGGTCCTTCTCCTGGTGGCACTGACCTACTTATAAAGTCTCATTTCCTTCTAATCACCTTCAAATAATCCCCGATCCAAACAAAATGCACCGAGAGCTCCTGCCATGCTTTTATCTTTTTTCTACCTCTGCCTAAAATGTTCTCTACCCATCCCAAACTCCTCATGTCAAAATCTTATCTCCTTTTAAGACTCACTCAAATGTTACCTCCTCCAAGAAGTCTTCCATGATGTCCTCCTCCATGAGACATGCTCTCTACCCCCTCTAGGCTTCTGCAACCCTTTTACTAGAGGTAATTCTCACATATTTATCACTTTCTGTCTTGTATTACAGTTATTTCTAAACGTATGCTCTACCTCCTGATAAACTATAAACTCAAATACATGTCCCCCTCACACTTAACACATGCCATGCAAATAGAAGGTATTAAAATATCTCTTGTATGAATGACTAAAATAACAAATGATAGAAAACAGTATAATATGGTAAGAAGCAGTCTAATTTATCATTGTGCTTAGAGAGGTAGCAAATCTTGAAACTTAGGAAATAGACCTCAGTGCTTGGGACATTTTGTTTATCCATAAACCTGTTTCTATTGAAATCCTGTATTTTCATTATTTGCCCACAGAAGTCCTGCTAGATGTATGTGTGCGAGAGAGAGAGAGAGAGAGAGAGAGAGAGAGAGAGAGAGAGA